TGTCATTTCTGCTTCCCACCTACCTTATCAATCACTCATTTGTTCTTTGAACTGGGCGGCCATCAGTACTTGACCCAATATTGCTTTTGTGGTCAGCCATTTATCTTGCTTCAACTCCTGCTATACGTTTTCTCACTGCAATGCTGCTAATCACCTTGTTTGTTATCTCAAGGGTTCTCTGTCTACAGGTATCATGTTTAGAGGGTGTATGCCTGCAGAGCTCAAAGGTTATGGTGATGCGGATGACACTAATGATCCTCTTGATAGAAGATTGTTTACTGGATACTTATTTACTTTTGGTGATGGTATCATATCATGGAGAAGTTGACACCAGAAGTGTACTGCTTTATCTACTACAGAGGCCGAGTATATGGCCATATCCGGTTGTGCTAGGCATGCTTTTTTATTCAATGATCTCAAATTATCAGTCTTGGCTGTACCTCTATCATCTACCGGTCAAGCCATTCAGCTTTTTAATGATAACCAAGGAACTGTCCTGCTTTCAAAGGAACCAGTCATCAACAATTGATCAAAACATATTGACATGTGATATCACTTCATCAGAGATCACGTTTTCCTGAATAACATTGTAGCTGCTCACGTTCCTACAACATCTATGCTGGCTGATTTTCTTACAAAGCCTCTCCCGTTAGATGCTTTTCAACATTGTTGTGGTCAAGTGTGTGTTTTTCAAGTGTTTGAGTTAGGAGGAGTTTTGCTCCATTTGATATTTGATTTGTGTATTTGAAATGTTGTCTATGTCTCTCTGTGTAGCGTTGTTTAACCTTGATATGATTTCATCCTAACTACAATAAGGGGTTTCAAGTTTAAATCTTTTATACGGGTTTTTAAAAATTCGGTCAAGTTTTATACGACACTGTAAGATTTTAAATTTGACCGTTTATAAAAATCAAGCACATTGAATAATTACCGTCGTGAAACAAATCGAAGCGGTGAACGTATCGTTCCGAGGTTTGGCAACATTTCCTTTGAAGATAATGACGAGATGGCCTTCTTGACCAATCTCATGTTTGAAGATGTGGTCAATACCATGATTGAAAAGGTCAAATCGTTGACCGAATGATTTTTAAAAGTGTACGTTTACGCTAATTTTAAAACGGGAGACGTAAAAAGGTCTCCCGTTTTAAAAATATTTTAGTAAAATTTATGTCTTCGTCCAAGTTTTCAAAACGTAAAAATACGGAAAATCTTGAACTTGAAACCCCTTAATATCTGATTTGTTATCACAACTACATTTCATATCTTGTGTCATGGTATTTCATATTTATACCTGTGGGGTTTTGCACTTAGATTTGAACATCATCTGTTTGACTCTATTTTGTTCATAAGCTAATGTTAACACTTATAAACTTGTGCATTACTTACAGGTAGGTGTTTTGTTTGTGTTGTTTTTCTTCATTTCTTTTTCATCTACTAGCTACTATATGTGTGAGAGAAATGGAAACATCATCTGTTCAACTCTATTTTGTTTATAAGCTAATGTTGACACTTATAAACTTGTGCATTACTTACATCAAGTCCCGCCAGTGTCCACCATACTGTATGACAAGTGTACAGCAAGCAACTATTTTCTGTAACTTTTTGGTTTTCTCCATGAGATTCTCATAGAGAGGGATTCTCAGGATCAGCCTGATACTGTTATGCTCTCTAAACTTAGCAAAAGTCCCATGCCTGCGCATACTTGTGAGGCATCAAGCAAGGTACTTACAACAAACTTGCATGCTCCATAACCTAAGAGATGCCCCTTTTGCAGGAAGCAACCTTTCAAACCCTTGGAAATTTTTCCCTACCAAAGATTTTGGTCCGGACCAAAGACAAAAGTTGTTTTCCTCCTTGTTGTGCAAGATATCCACTAATGTTTCCCTGGGGAATCAAAATATTTCCTCCTTTAAACAACAGGAAGTGGAAGCACTTCAAGATTATAGGTCTGAAATCTGATCGTGAAGATGACATATGACTCACAGCTTGCACAAAAAGGCATGTGTCTTATAAAGTCAAACAAAATGGAACAGCAAACTCATTTGATATGTCAACAATGAATTTAATTGATGTATATAGTATATGATCTCTGTGAAAAATTTATCATTTTACACTACTAAAACTTTAAAGAACTTTTAAATGCATGTTCTCCTATCGACTAGCTGCAGGAAGGGATATTGTTGGGAGGTAGGAAGATTTTTGTTCCCTTCCCTTGTGTCTCCCTTCCACCTGACTTTGTTGTGTATGTAACTTTACATGTGCATCTAGACCTTGCTTACCCTCCTAGCTACGGTGGCCTTACCATGTTGTGCCTTTGGTGGGAAGTATCAATCAATTAAGTGGTCATAACACATGTGTACTACAATTACAAAAAATGTTTTTCTGAAGACAAACTTGTGTATATCTACATGAATTAAAAGGAAAATTTACGGTTCTCTTTAGAAAAACATCCAAGCAGGATTGGTTTCAATTTCAACACAGAAGACCATTTACTGATTTTGGTCATTTCACTGTTTCTTGCATGTCTTTTGCCTGGCTACTTTCTGAATTTGGCGGAAAATTCAAGATTGTTCTCAAGTAAAGTTGACTTTGAGCTTTAGGCTCCTCTGGTTCTGTGGTTGACTAAGTGTTTCATTTTTCTGGCTCTTCCTTGGGCCCTGATGTTGAGAAAGGTTTGCTTTTACCAAATACAGAAAAGCTGACTGTTTTTTTGACTTAGATCATGAAAATAATCAATAGAAAACTACGTTAGTGCTTGTATTGATGAACTGCTAAGGTAGTTTGAAAGGTCAGGTTTACATACACATACCTGGCGATTTGTTCATTTGACCTCTATTATTTTGCTTCAGGCAAGGTCTGAGTCCCTCTGTTCTCTCATCATTCTTCACGGGTAATTGAGTGATCTCTCCTGACAATAATGGATCCACATTTGATTCCTTGGTTATACATGCACCCAGTCAGTCGATGGTTTATTCTAAGGTGAAAATACAATCCTCTTTCTATCATTTCAAAAAGAAGGCAATAATCAGATTGATACTTACTCGATCCACGTGAGCTCTCGCGCAGGTGCTGTCTTTCCCACCTTTGATTTCATCTTCAAACTCGACACCGTGTGGGCTGCCACGCACGACACGAGGATATATGCTAGCGACAAGCCCAAAATCGAGTGCTTTCAAGATAAAAAAAGCAAGAAGAATTGCCTTTGTAACAGATATCATTGCTCAAAGAACAAAGTGTTGAAATTGATGATGTCTCTGAAAGCCTCAAATTCAATGCAAGAAGTGGTGTGGAGAGAGTTTCTCTAGATCTTGGTTTATGTGAATAAGTAATTAAGGGTGTAAGAATGAAGCGCAATTAGGCGAGGAATAGCTGGACGGAGCACAGTGACATAACAAGAGTGAAAACGCACGATTATCTGATCCCTCTTACTATATATATATCCACTGAGAAAAGATAGGAAAGGTTTTTTTGAAAACGATGATATGTAACTCACATTTGATCTATCTCCTGCGTGTGGAAAATACGATACAAGCTTAGAAAGATGGGTCCTCGTATCTAGATATGTAGAGCGTACTATTGAACTTGATTCGAAAAACTCATTCTAAGAGTGATATCAAATCGTCTGATAAGCTTCAAAAGAGATACTGATACCGATCTGTGAAAAATGAAACCATTTGTGTCTGCGGTAACTGATCATCTTGCATAGCTCAGCTTTTAAAATTATGTGGCGTTGAAATATCAACGCATTACAGCTTTGGTCATGTGGTTGAAGGTCTAGTCCCTGTGCAAGCCTTTCACTTCTACGCAATCCATCAGAAACAAGGAAATTCGGAGCCTCAAATAGACACAGTCGAACATGCATTCAAACTCATGAGAACTCCAAACAGAGATGAAATCCTGTAAAATGTTCAAGCGCACAATGACATCAATACCGCAATCGCACCGCTCTTTTTGCGATTGAGGAGCGGTTTTGGCTCCGCAGTAGCCCCGCTATACATAGCGGAGCCTACGCACCGCATTTTGGGGTGGAAAGCTCCCATAGCGCAGTGAGCGCTCTGCAACGGGCCAGCGTTTCTCCGTTATATAGCGGAGCAATACCCTATACCCAGGGGTGTGTCTCTTTTTATTCGTCTTATTATACATGATCACTGGTCTACTTGTTTTTTGTTGTCTGTACATCATGGTCACTTGTTATACACGGCCAATAACTCTCTGTTTACGCTTTTTGTGTGCCCCTTGCGCCGCTATAGTGCGCAATAAGCGCGCAACATAGCGATCGATCCATCGCGCATGGACCGCTCCGCAACTGCCAGAGACACTAAAGAATGGGTCAGTAGAATTTTACGCGCAATGTTTTACGCACTTTTTTGATCGTAAAGAACAAAGTGCGTAAAGTTGCGTCTCGTGTTGAGAAAAGTGCAACTTTACGCTCAAAAAAGTTTTTCGCTTCGCTGTAAAGCATTCATTGTAAAAAAATAGATTGTAAAATTGTCCTTTGATACCCTCAAATCTTTACTTTTACGCACAATATTTTACGCGTAATCGTATAGCGCAAAATATGACATCGCAAAGTTGCATAATCCAATTGCAAATGTGCTACTTTACGCCACCAAACCATCATTTTGCGCTGAACAAGTCACCATATGGGATGTCATATTGGATCTCATAACCAATAGATGATTTACCCTCAACCAAGAAGTAGAAGCATCACCGCGAATTGTGTGAGCATTGGGAGTCATGATACTTCTACCCCCTTGCGTTGTTTTTTTCAAAAGGACGCAAGGGGCCTCACAAATTTAGCCAGTCATACTCATGAAGGTGAAACGTATGACTGGCTCGATTATCGAAGATACGTAAGTGTGACTCGCGAGTGAACAAGATCCAGGGTCTCCCCAAAAGGAACACCGCAAATCAACAACCAGTAGGATCTTTGATTTGACCAAGAATTACTGCCTTTCCAATCCTTCAGTATTTTCTTCGTTTTTTCTGACCTACAAGCTATGAAGCAAAAGAAATCGACACTTGCCCGTTTGAAAGACCATGATCATCGGTATGATAGCGAGGAAGACTTCCATCAGGCTGATTCAAGCGATACCAATACCAGCGAGACTCATACAAGCAAAAGTGAAGATGAAAAGACACGTGCTATTCTCATTGAGCCAGAGGACAATTCTGATTTTGAAGATGTGGAGGAGGCTGACGCGGATGATTTAGACCAAGCTCAGTCAACGGGCGACAGTGCTTCCAAAATTTCCCTTTCACAATCTCAGACCTCTTCAATCAGTAAAAAACCAACATCTTCTCCAGAACTAATGAGAAAGAAGAAGGACAAATCACTTTTGAAAACAAGCTCAAAGACTCATTCTATTTCAACTGCGCCTAAGAAAGAAACTTCAAATGCTCAACATATCAAGCAGTTTAAGATTAAGAGCAAGAAGTTGCAAGCTCGGCTCAAGGAACGTCGCAAGAAATTCACTACACCACATAACCCGGATATGTTCAAAACATTCATTGATCATGGTACAATCATGGATGCACAGTCTTACCCTCTCTTCATCAATGGAAGTACTACCTATGTCACGAAGGACACCGAATCGATCACTAATTGGGGAACGTTTGGTTACACCTACACTATGTCAGGAGGAGATGTCAAAGGACGGTGGAAAACCACCAGATATAAGTGTTTAGGGGTGCTCAAATGTACAAATGAAAGCTGTAAATACCGGGGCTCACCTCCCACTGGTCGCACAAAAATTTCTAAACTTGTGCAACAGTAAGTACCTTCTTTAGTTATTTCCGGACTATCTAGAAATTGAAATCTCCTGACTTCTCTTTCTTCATCTGAAACATAGGCAGAAACCATGCAAGGTCCCTCGCTGCCCAGGGATTGTCATCCATGTTGCATGCAAAGATACTTTCTGCCGACTAGATGAATGTGTAGAGACTCAGTGGGGACTTCTTCGCCACATCAGGACTCATGACCACCCATGGCCAGTTCGTACAAAGGCAGACAAAATTTCAAAAGAGGAGTTCGCAACTGTTGTCAAAAATAATAGCAAGTCTAAGCCAATGCAATTAAAAGTTGGTGAAACTATTCTTCTTATATATTTTGATCTGATATCAACTTGCAATTTGTTCTGGAATGCATAGACAGGGCAAGCACTGGCCGGAAAAAAGCCTATCAAAAGTGTCTCCACCATTCACGTAGCATATCGAAACCGCTCAAGAATCGCTTCTGAACGTCGCTCGGTTCTGAAAGACGCTGGGATAATATCAGACAAGAAGGGTAAAGGTGTTCAAGACGAATTTGTGATTGATATGTTGAGTTGGGCAAAGTAAGTCCATATTGAGATCTACATCTTCTAGACTCTCATCTTCGGTCATTAAATGATACTAACGCTGATGTTTCTTAGGCGTGGTTTAGATATCATTTATATCACCATGACGCCCGCTAATGCACATATTTCTTTCCAGACAAAGTGGATGAAAGAGTGACTGCTTACTATTGATGATGATGGACGCGCTTACAGTGGTGGTCTTCTTACGGATGTGACATACAAGCTATTTGCAACAGGCTACCTATGCTCTACAACAATGTATGACAATGACCTCTGCCGGTGGATTCCAGTTCTATTCACTTGGCTCTCTGGTTTATCCGAAGCACACTATCATGCACACTTTGTACAATTGATGAAAATGGTGAAAGACGCTCCTATCACTCCACCTCAGCGGGACTCCCTTATTCGGACTGTGGTTGATTTCTCTGCTGCTCAGAAAAATGGTTTCATACAAGCTTATATGGATGTCTTTGAAGAATATGATAGAGACCGAGCACTATCAAGGCTCAATGGATGCCAAGAACATTACAGAGCATCTGTCACTCGGCTTAAGCGCAACTTCGCGGTCACAGGAGGTCAAGAGGTATGTTATACTTACTCTTCTTCATGTTATGTTCATGATTTCTCAGGTTGGTTTGAGTACATATTTTGATTACTATCCTTCATTGGATAACACAGGATGTATTTGAAGGATTGGCACTAGGTCTACTCAAAAAAAGTAATAGCAAAACCCACGACGAGAAACTTGATGAATTACGAAGGACTTTCCCTAAGGCAAAGAATTGGATTGATTGGTGGCAGACCTCCGATATAAAAGCAATGCTATTCCGTTCGCGGCAGCCCCAAATGGATGATTTTGACCTTAGTGAGGATTAACTGCCAGAAACCACAAATGCACAAGAGAGTATGCACCGTGTGATCTACATGATAAGGTATGTCAGCTACAACTCTACGTGATTAATTGGAAGACTTATTGAAAGTGTGTCTGAACTTACTGGTACCATCTATGTAGTGAGACAAAATGCTCCATACAGATTGGAATGGTCCAGCTCTATGCTCTTGTCAAGACACTGGAGCGGGATCATGAAGATGTTATGCGTGGAATCACAGTGGAATATGGATCGCTCTCTAGGCACTACAAGACAGTTGCTGAATCTCTAGGTTGGACTCGAAAACATCGAAAACAGTGTGCAGTCCCAAATGATGGCCGGCCACCGGACACCACTGAGGCACTTGGTCTCAAAAGCAAGAAATTAGGACGGCCAAAGGGTTCACAGAACGTTGACAGGAACCCAATCACCACATATCAAGGATATATTGCATCATCAATTACTGGTAGACAATTTCGGTGCTGGGAAGACTCGATGCTAGAGTGTCTCTATGCCATTCACAACCCTCTATGGTACCGTGGTAGTAGAGGAAAATCAGGTGACATTTTCACAAAGATGATGCGACATTTTTCAGCACGTACATCATTTGACATGAACCACTTAGGGGATATTGTCAGTATCCTCAGCAAGGGACAGGATAACCTTCATGAAGCAATAGAAGATGCCTACAGAGGCAGCTTCAAACCGGACACTTTTTCATCAGCCGAGCTTTTCTTGGAAGGTTTGTTTGACCCAAGAAAGAACTCTTCTAAGGCTGTTCAAACAATATTTCAGGTTCAACGCGAGTGTCGCTACACCTGCTCTCGCAAGTGTGCCGAAGATCATGAATCGGATGACCGTAACAATAAGATCAAGATTCGTAAATTAATTGGATTAAACCTTCGGCCAGAAGACTTTGAAGCTGCTGATCTTGAATATGGACAAGGACCCGAGCTTGTTCAAAAGCTATGTTCAGTGGGTGTTTACTCCCAATCAAATTACCATTGTAAACCATGTATGGATGATGATAAAAAAGCAAAATTGATCCTGGAAAAGAAAAAATCAACATTAAAGACTGCCACCGCAATCCCAAAAGCAATACCTCCGTTCTGCTATCAACTAGTTCAATACAACCTCACTTCACCTCTACATCCATCAGGACATTACACCACTTCTCAGTCAGAATCTTCCATATGATAGTTTTATGTGCAATTCAAACTGGCCAGCAACGATGAAATTGGGAGGTAATGAGTACACTTTGAAGGCACGCGGGTACTGGGGTAACAAGCATTACTGGTGCAAGGTAGTTCGAACACTTGGCGGAGTGTCTGGAGTATGGTTGAATGATGATACACTCAATAAGGGGATCGCTCGGATGCTAAGTAGTGATTGTAGCAGTATTGCTGGACCATCACCAAGCACAAGCTGGTTGATGTATTCTCAAACGTATAGCAAGAGCGAGCAAGCAATTGTCAATGAATCAAACGAAAAGATAAGAAAAGACAATTCAAAGTCTAAAGGCGGAGCCAAGCTAACTGATCATCACAACCATTCCCATGCAAAAGACTCTTCATCTTGTAAGTGTATATCTGCCAATAACCAAATCTGTCGAGTTTTCACTGAAAGCGCTTGTTGTTCTCTTCTGTAGCAGATAAATTCTTGCTCAAAAATGGGGGCAAGCGCAAGAAAAAAGCAATAGATCATGTTGAAGATGATTCATCAGAAGAGGGGAAATCTGGTAAGTCTTGTTTTGTCGGTGTTTTAGCCATGTGGTCTAACTCTTTGTGTCCTCTGTCCCAAGCAAAACGAGTCAAGCTGGTGGATGACATGAAGCCTGCATATTCACAACTAGTTGCCGATGCCACTGCGTCCGCCACAGCAAAAGTCAAACAACAAGTAAAATCCATCAAGACGTGTAAAACACAGGAATCCAACACTGTGGATGAGGCACAATGTGGAGACTCGAAGAGATCTCATAAGGGCTGGGTGTGGGTTGAAGAACGGCCAGAATCTAATGATTTACTGCCCAAAGACAATCAGCACGTTCAAAGTCAGGTTGAAACCTCCTCACGCCGGACACGATCAGGAAGAGCAATTGGATAGCCTGTCTTTTCCTGATATTTTTTCATCCTTACTCTCATTGAATCACTTTTTGTATTTCAGTCGATTTTTTCTTTTGTTTCAATCTTATACTTATCAGCAATCAATCGATAGTGATGCTCAGTTTAATTACCCTTTGTTTATAGCTCTTAATAAGTTGAAAAGAACTCCATTCAAAGCCATCTCCTACACGTTCCTGTTCTTCAGGTAAACAGGTGCAATCAACAGCGAGTCTTGAACAAAGCGGTTGAAGTCACAATTTTCTAATGTAGATTGCACAAGGATCTTGTGAGTAGTTGAACATGAACAAAAGGCCTATAGCCACTGGATGTTTGTGGGATTTTAAATTTGATTTTGGGCCCTGTGTGTTAGTGACTTATTCAGCGCAAAATGATGGTTTGGTGGCGTAAAGTAGCACATTTGCGATTGGATTATGCAACTTTGCGACGTCATATTTTGCGCTATACGATTACGCGTAAAATATTGTGCGTAAAAGTAAAGATTTGAGGGTATCAAAGGACAATTTTACGATCTTTTTTTTTACAATGTATGCTTTACGACGAAGCGAAAAACTTTTTTGAGCGTAAAGTTGCACTTTTCTCACCGGAAGACGCAACTTTACGCACTTCGTCTTTTACGATCAAAAAAGTGCGTAAAACGTTGTGCGTAAAATTCACCGACCCCCTAAAGAATGCGGAGCATTGCGTCGCGCTTTATGGCGCAGTCTGCGGTCCGCAGTGCAAATGAGGTCAAATTTCATTGCATTGCGTAGCGGGCGCGGTATTGCTCACATAGCACACAATTTCACGAAATGCCCACGATGGCGTATCACGCTTAAAATGGGAGTCTTTTATGAGAATTATTACTCAAAATACCGGTCATGACATCGTCACTTGATTGTTGAGCTACGGAAAGGCTCCGGCCTGATATCTTATCTCCGAAGTCCTATGCATTGGATGCATCACGCTTTTTTTCTAATCGGACTGAATTTGGATAGCAGATACGAGAATGTGTTGTATGTGAACTGCAGATGTCCCCGCCTTACTAGGTGAGCTGAATATGACGTAAATCGAGCCTCCCGATCAGATAGTTCATTCCTACCATCAAGCTTTTGAATTGTTTGAGAGTCACCGCCGATCACCCTAACAGAATTCTTATTTATCCGCAGCTTAAATTAAGGACTTGAGCTATGAATCAAATGCGTATCATATAATGAGAAAACAAGGCAAAATTTATTAATGATGCCTGAGTTATGTCCAGTCAAGGAGGTTGTGCCATCGATATCTTACACTGCTGAGGAGTCAGTCGATCATGAGCCAACTTCTATTTGAGTTGCGTAATTCCTCCATGTCTGACTATTGAGAGTTTATATGACTCCTGCGGGTCCCAGCCAAATCAACTCAGATGTCTTCTGCCACTTCATACCAAACTTGGCCCATTCTAGCGGGTAGAAATCTTCAGTTGTACTCATTTGAAGCCCATAACTCTAAAGAACTTTAGGTTGGACAACAGGATAGAGATCAGAGGGGGCTTCTGATACATTCATGCAACAGTCAGATGATATGAGCTTCATCTAGGTTTCTGTGGCTACAGCGCTTCACAGCAGGTATGTTATGTGATGGCATAGCTTTGTATTGGATTTGTATCTACTTTATCTCCTGGTTTACTCAATCAGGATCAATTCGCCAGCGATCGCGTGGCGTGTGGAGTAAGACTGGACTTCGCTGGACAATATTTTCATGAGATTAAGTTTTTCCTGACGGTTTACTCCAAGTTTCGTATCTTTCCACTCAAGGACCCACAGAGCAAGGTCAACCGGTGAGAGAGAAGTCTGGGAATTGAATGGGGATCGAGATAATCAGCAACGGCTGACGAGACTGAGATTATTGAAAGTAAAATCTGAATTACGTAGCGATATCTAATAGTTTTTGAGTTCAAGGAAGAAGAAATGACATATAATGAGACCAATCATGAGAAATATGGTGAAATCAAAAATTATTAAGTCATTAAGAAAACCTCGATAAGATTGGGTGAAAAGAAATGTCAAATGGAAGGAAGTAACAAATAAAAGCATCATAGCCATCCTATCCATCTTATATTGATGATCAACATATTATATCTCAAGAGAGATTAAATGATATTTGCGAAAGAAATCAAGTGAAGATATGATTATATTTTGTGAAAATAAAGAGTATGTAACTGAGAATTCAGAATGTAAGTTATCCCTGTGAGATCTGAGAGCAGAGAAAAAGTTAAATAGAAAATCATTGAAAACATGCTTTGTCGTCTCACAACACCCTCTTGTTCACACGTTCCCATTTTTCAATCACTTCTTCGCATATACACATTAATTCTTCGGTGCACTTAGAGCAACCCAGAGCTCTGATCGAAGGTCTTAGGATCTCTTCATTCAAAAGAAGACGGAGGTTGACATCGGGATGGTTGATGCGCTTTATCACTCTTGTACGGGCCTCCGCTAACCACTTCTCTACCAGAAAGTCGTGCTCTCTGGAACTAGAATCGTATGAGGAAGTGGATTTTGTCTTTCTTGGGTAATCATATGCTGAGTGACACGATGACTTGAATTTCATCTTTCCAACAAGATCTCGAGCTGCTTTGACGCGAGATCGATGAAGTTTGACCTGTAACATTTTGTAGGACAGATTTTTGTCAGAAATAGAGGATGTAGTTGGTAATTATATAGTGCGCAGGCACGCAAATCTCAACTGACTAAAGCGGCGTGGGTGTCGACCATAAGGATGTCTTTGAACTCATCATTTTCCAGGTCACAGGAAACTGAACATTGAGCAGCGACTCGAGCAAGCCAATCGCAAGAATAGTGTGACGCAAGCACAAACACCTGAATAGGTTTTTCCTGGCAGTATGCACTACAATGTTGAAAAAAAAGTGAAGACCGAAAGCTCAGTTTACACCTGTTACTACAAGCGTATCAAGATGACGATTCTAACCTGAGTGCCAACAGACAAATCTTTTCCATTTGAGCTAGATGATACTTATCTGAAGCAACCTCTAAAGCAGAAACTGGAATGACCATAAAGCTGATGAAGTAAGCACAAGCTGAACAGAGAATATTGTTTGAGAAAATGTGAACAGGTTCCTTACCAATCATGGAAAATGGAACCTTGTCAAAATTAGGTAAGGAGTCGCCAACCATACACTGAAGTATGAGCTCGACCAGCGATTTTGATTCCTGAAGCAGAAAAACAGGTCTTGATTGATGCAGTCCGATCGCCTTGAAAACACTATCTGAACCAAAGCTTTCTGGACGACGAGAAAATATTTGGGCTGAATCAATTGCAAACCAGCATGAAGGAAAGTCGGCAGAGGCGAGAACAATATCAGCAGAAGGGGACGACGCAGGGAAATTCGGATGATAGTAGTGAGGTGAGTTATTGTGTGATAGCTCGGTTGTAGAATTAAGTGAGATTGGCGAGAGACCATCCGAGGAGGAAAACAAGTCAGAGTAAGCCGTAGCTGATGATTTGTGGTCGAAGGTATTGAGCATCTTAAAATACGTTGGAGGACACTTGCTCTTCTGCGACACGCTTCTCGACAACACGCTTCTCAATATATCTTGACAGTTTTTTCTAAGATATCCTGAACAGACGCTGATGAAAATTAAAAAGGCTGTTCGCAACGATGGTAGGCTGAAAGGCAGGTCACTGGATTCACTACTACAACGAAAATGGATCAGGTGCGATATGTTTGCAATTTGAAGATAAAATGATTTGAAGCGAGAGGCTCATATGATTGGTATTTATATACAAAACAAGTGACAGTTGGCAGTGTTGGATTGCATGTGCCTTACGAGTATTTCCCTGTAGTGCTGGTCAGCTAAGCTCGCACTTGCAAAACCCCAGCTCCCCAGGATTTCATTTCTTGATCCGACCGAACACCGCTACGATTGAATAAACCTGGTCAATCTACAAAGCATGTTTTTCCCAAGGACTAGTTGATTCTTCCACTTCAGGATGAAAACGTCTGGAGCCTTAATATCGGGTCATTGAAAGCTCGTATCAATGATGCAATATGAAGTACTGGGAAATGGTAAGGGTAAACCTCGCGGATCCGAGAGGATCTAGCAGCTAAAACCGAGTCATGGTTATCTCCATATTAGATATCACAACAAAGCCCTTGATACCCAACACTTTGGGCTTCTGATACCTTGTAATGGCATGATCTCTAATTTGTTCGGTCGAAATGTGTCGAAATTCATATGCATTGATGAAGCAATACCCTGACTGGGAAAAGGTAGGAGTGAGCCTCGTGGATCCGACAAGATGTAGAGTCTAGAAGCAAGTCCTGTTAGCTCCTTCTAGAATGCCGCAATCTGTCCATGCACAACACTTTGAAGTTCGGGCTTCTGCCCATGTGACGTAATGTCACAATCTCTCAACTTCCAAACTACGTTATTTTCAGCTCGGAAGCCGACAATCTGGACATACCAAAAAATAAGAAGATATCATTGAAAATCCAAGGTCAAGATCTCGCTGTGAATACTCTAGACTATATATATCTGACCCAAAGTGGTCATCAGAAAAGTTTGTCACTGCGAGGTCCCCAAAGCCTTTTGCACTTATCAGAAGTATTGTACATCCACTGAGATGAGTGAAAAAATGATTGCAGTCTCTAGCCTGAACCCAGCATGGTGTTATTCTATTCCCTACATCCATCTTTTACCTACAGGCATCCGAGGATGCGGGAGGATCAGGACCCGGTATGCCCCTATGAGGGGTAGTCACGCAGAAACATGAGTTTTGAGCTCACAGGGAAGCTGCCTCCGCCAAACTGCCAAGTCCTTCCCTGGCTTCACCCATAGGAATAAGACTGGTTTATTCCTTCCTTGGAATTACAAATATCACAATCAAACCATTCCCAACTATGAAATACATTAATGGCTGAAGGCATAAATGGCCAAAACTCACAAAAGCATTGTATAATGCAAAGAAGTACAATTCCGTGGGAGCTCAAAAGTCATATTTCCATGTGATTAACCCTCATAGGGGCATACTGGGGTCCTGTAGGATTGCTATAGCAAAGTTTCATCATATCCAAAGCAATTGATGCACCTGGATCATCAAATTGATAAAGCATTCCACCAGATGTTTGTGGTTGTGATATGTGATGTTACTTGATATATTTTAGGAGGAATCAACACTTTTAGTCCTACTCAATGAATTAGGAGTGCAGATTCAGTAAGTGCAGATTTTCTCTCTCAATAATGGTATTCAAGATTTGAGAAGTGGCGTCCAGAAGTGTCAAGAAGTGACATCCAGAAGTTTCTTGAACATGCTCAAGAAACTTCTGGAACTTCTGGAACTTCTGGAACTCTTCTGAAATCTATGTGCGCGTTTACGCGGTGACCACGCGGCAGCTCGGGAGCAGTTTTTTTTTGAACACTGTACGTATTTATATTAAACCTTCTTTACCTGTTACAAATTTATGTAGGTCATATAAAGCGTGAAGTCTCATGATCCAATGGCCAATCTACCACCCTCCAACCATAACACAAGCAAAGCCCCGATCACCACATCCCAATCACCTTCGATTTTTACTCAACCGTTCCCTTTTGGTGTAGTTTTGCCATCTTTAAATCACCTTTGGAACCCTATGCCTTCTTACCATCCACCTAGTTCTCAAGTTCAGAGTCCAGCAAATCCTCCTCCTCAACGAGAAAGTACTCCCAGCCCTTTGAAGAAGGCTCCACGCCAACGCAAGAAGAAAAACGGCGACATCAAAACTTCTCCCGTCCAAACTTTGTGGCGCACAGCTCGAAACAAGGATGGCCAGAACGCTCTTGGTGTCTTAGCTGATTGGTTGTCTACCCCCGATGGTGATGGTTTCCAGCTTGATAGGTGGCGGGGTGATGGTGGAACAATCACAAAGACAAGTGTTGGCGAGGAAATTGCTCAGTACCTGGCCGAGAGAGGCTTTCCAAACATTCCTGGTACATCTGTAGAGGCGCAGGTATGTTTTCATAAACACTCCTGGTTATCAATAATTCATGTTAATTATTGCTATCTTTATCTGTTTAGATCTGAGAAATCGAAAAGGCCTTTCGAAAAGCAAGAGACATGCAAACCGGGACGGGTCAAGGTTCAAGAGAGAGAGATATGAATGATGCTTTGGCCGAGAAGGAACAAAATGGCTATGCTACTGATAGCAAAGTATGGCGAGAACCATTATCAAGTGTAGAGGAAAGATTCAAAAGTAAGTCCTTATATCACTGTAAGTATCAAGTTATGTAGGTAACTGACCTGTGGTGATCAGCACGACTTGAAAAAACCTGTCCCAATTATTACCAGCTGTTCCCAGCATTTCAAAGACGCCCCGCAACATCACCCGGAGCTGTTCAAGAGTCTGCCGACATCTTTGATGAAGAATCGATCTTACCAAACACGAATCCTAGCCTTTGATTATCGGATTTGGCTGAAGACGCTTCTGAAAACTCGGCGGGGCCAGTGCTTGAGGGGAGTGTATTCAATCTCGAACAGGTACTTAGTACTGTCAAGAGTCCAATCTTGGATCGATTGGAACCTAGCAAGGCGGATCACAGCCACATCAAGACTAGCGATGATATCTCAGTAACTGCATCAACCAACTCAATCACCAAATCGGCTAAGCCTCGTTTATCTCAACCTCGGACCAGCCGTGCTTCAATTGAAGAGGTCAACAAACTATTGGGAAGTTCCCCTCTTAAGAACAATGCAAACTCGTCCAATGCAACATCAAATTTATTATCACAACACTTGCCATCACGCGAAGATCGACAAGCCGAATGGGAATTCAAGAAGGAACATATGCTCGCTGAAAGAGAAACGAGGGAGGCTGAATTGAAGGGTAGCTTAGAACTTACACGGGCAATTACTCAATCTTTGACTCCACAACCGAGTGCCCATACCGAAGTGCTTCAGGGATTACAAATCAGAAGAGAAACATTAGAATTGGATCGAGCTCAGGCTGAATTCAACCAGAAAGTTTTAAGCAAATCCAATGATCTGAAGAGACGCAAAGATCTAATCGAGATAGAAAAAATGGAGAAGGACCTTGAGGGCGAAAAGAAAAGACAGAAGTTTGAAGATATTGCTATGCGAGGAAAGCTGTACAAGGAGTACATGGAGAACTTCAACATCAGTTTGGCCAAAGCCAAACAAACCGTTGATGAGATGCTCAACACATGATCATCTCACCCTGTAGGTAAGATCGATTTCTTGTTTTTATCCCCCATGATCTTCTTCAAGCACCTGTCTTTCTCCAGTGATGCTTACAGGTGTGCTTTCTTTTGGTTCTCAGTTTTCTCAAACCGATATTTTGTGAAAACGGTCATTTACGGTCATTTTAAGGGCTCATAAGCAAAAATGTAATGCTTTAGGAAACTCCAACAACTCATTTGTATCTATTTAGTGGTATCTGTTCTTGAAATGAAATCTGTGGAATTTCATTTCACCTTTGAAATGTATTGAATTTCATTTCCACTTTGATGTATACTTAAGAGACAATCCCGTTTTTGATAATTGGTGAGAGAGAAAGCAAGTCATAACAAAAGTTCATTGCCACTTTGATGTATACTTAAGAGACAATCCCGTTTTTGATAATCGGTGAGAGAGAAAGCAAGTCATAACAAATCAAGGTACAGATGGTCAGAGAAAATTGAGAACATTCTAACTTGACTTTAAATAAATTTCTTATGTAGATTCAAATATCTCCTTCAACCTCACGTCAAAAATCATTAAATACATCATTTCTCAACGCATCATTGTTGTCAGCCATCACATCTTCCGCTACTGCTGGGTTATTCTCTACATAATCCTCTTCAGCCTCGCGTTCGAGTACATTAGGTAATTGATATGGGAACCTTGAATCTTTGCCTTCCTTCAGCAAAAAGTTATGTAATATACAGCAAGCCATTAATAGCGCATTTGTTCGTTTCATTGATCTTTGATCTCGAAGAAGAAGCCAACATTCTTTGACCATTTGAAAGCGAGATTTCAACATGCCATTAACGTGTTCAATGATCGTTCTTGCGTCACTCAGCATTTTATTGAAAGCCGCCTTCAATCGAGAGAGGTTGCAACTTGAACCGCGCTTGAAAAGGGGGAGTACACATCTTGTAGCACTATAGCCAGAGTCTGCTACTAAGTACTCCCCTTCGGTAAAGTAACGTTCAGGATGACACCAGAGCTGAATCATGAATCAGCCACAAGTCTGGTCAAGCTTTAATTCAAGATACATTAGAACTTACAGAAGAAGTTCTAAATACCCTTTGATCGTGCACACTTCCGCACCACCCATGTCGAGCAAAGATTATTCTTTGCTTATTGTTGCAGACAATCATCGAGTTGAGACCATAAAAATACTTACGGGTCCAGTAGTCTTCTTTGCATTGTACTGGACCAAATGCTAATGGAACAAGCGTGCCATCAACAAAACCCACACACCCTTTTAAGGCGGGGTAATCTTCAGCAATCTCGGTTCGAATTTTCAGACGTTTGAGTGGGGAAGGCCATCGCAAGTACTCGTCTTTCAGCTGAACAATAGCAGAAACACATTGCCAGGTATAATTCTCCACACTACCTTCTGTTTTTGAAAACCGAGTCAAAAAAAAAATCTTGAATATTGAAAGTATGTCTGAAGACTCGCCCGAAACACCTAATAAATGGCCTATGATTGCAACTTGTCCACCATTTCCTGCCAAGCTTAAGTTTGCCAAAGCCACCAACAGTTGAATTTTGACTGGAGCTTGAGGATTGGCGGAATTGTTCTGAAACACTTGATTACCTTCAATCTTATGAAGGAGCCAAAAAAAATGTCCTTTGTCATCCGTGCCTGGATGAATACAAAAGTGATTAAACCAATCACGGAATTGAAAGTGAGGTAAAGACTTACAACTTTGAGGAAGGTTACCTCTCTCAAATTCATGACTCAATCAAAGAGGAATTGTGTTGTCTCTCGGTCCGGGAGTGATGTCCTGGGAGAGAAGTATCGGTGATTCTCAACAGTTTGGAGGGCTGCCAACCAGACTTCGGCGTTAGATTTGTTCAGAAGGAGGTCTTCAGATCGTGACCTTCTTCGGTTTTTAAGCGCAAGAACCAAAGCAAGTTGAAGTGTTGGTGTAAGAGGAAGATCCCTTGATAGTTCAGGAACAAGAAGAATAGTCAATAGTAATGTTGAGATGGTTGATGGATGAGTTGTTGATGCTTGAAGGAGTGGTTCGGCCGGAGGGTGAGCCATATGATGGTGTGCAACACCTTTGAGTCCTCTTAAGACTTGTCGTCGGACTGAGACCCGCGGCATGATCAGGTGGTAATCGTATTGTAACCAACACCGTGGGAATCATTAAGTGTGAAACCGGATTGAGCAAAGTTGCGGTGTCCGGGTCCGCAACTTCCTTCAATCACGGATCTTGTTTGCCATAGGTTTGCCATAGGTTTGCAAGCTCGTCTCGAGCTGCCCTCTATAGTCATCCACTCAGGCTGTAGTATGGACTAATGGAGGTACCATATGTCTAGACTCTTGTAACATATACATAATAAAGCTCATGACTCATACATGATCTTGAGTGGTCTGAGGATATTGAAAGGACAAACATGCATAACAGAAGGATAAAGGAAGGTATAATGATCAGCTTCATTAAATATGTACATATGCGCTGTTGTAGTTGACATACTGCAGCTCAGGCCGACAACTCAAGGGCAGCTTGATGCAAGCTAGCAAACCTATAGCAAACCTATGGCAAACAAGATCCGCAATTGAAGAAAGTTGTGGACCCGGACACCACGACTTTGCTCAATCGGGTTTCAAACTTAATGATTCCCGCAGTGCAAGAAGTTGATGGAGGTTGATGAGGACCCCGGTATGCTCCTATAA